ACTACTCCTAATAAATTGGACTGTCTTACAACTTTGTTGCCTAATGAATCATTTTCACTTTATTTATCATATTTAAAGCATTACTAAATCCAGCAGAGCATTGGATAAAGCTTGTAGGAGGAGTTTTCATTCTCCCCTGATTGTCCGATGAGGCTGCAGGATCCTGACCCTCTGTCTGGACAGTGCTGATTGGCCCTGTGCTGATCACATATTCTCTCCCAAGAAAAAAAAAGCTCTATAGCAATACACACCAACTGAGCTGGTTAACGTGCCCCCTCGGATTTGTTCTATCAGAAGATGGATTTTTGACAGTTGTAGGAAGGTAAGGATCAGAGAAGAGGAAGGCAGAGAATCCTCCTAAGGGAGGATTACCCCTTAGGCTCCAAAGTGAGTATAACAAGCATTCTTTACTGCATATACAGATTGATTTTACTGTTGTGGGTTTAGTAACACTTTAGTGCCTTTTGATGACTTGATACCTATTGGTATTTAATGCCTTTTGATAACTTTAATCTTGTGTAATGAGGATCCTCCTCAGGAATCACCAGGCTGTAAAGGAAGGATGAGAATAACAGTCCTGGAACATGCTTCTTAAACAAATTAGCATTGGTAGCTGCCATATTTCTATCCTGATGAGTTATGTTTTTGACCCTTTGTGAATAGTACTCTTTTTAAGTATGTGTGAACTTATTGTATTTAATAAGACAAAGAGTATAGTGCAGGAACACATACAGGCATTTACTGATCTGATTACTGGATCTGACTGCACTTTACAGTGAGTGTGTGCTTTGTACATACAGGCCAATGCAATAAGACCCCTTTCACAAGGTCAGTCTGTCTGTTTTTCAGGTGGACCTGATCAGAAGGTCCATTCATTCCTATGGACTGGCAGGTGTTAACAGACTTGTGTCTATTTACACCTGTCTACCTCTGGGTCCAGATCGGAGGGAAGTCAGGTGTAAACAGACAGTGGACTCCATTTACTCCCTGCCACCCATAGAGCAAAGGGCTCTGTCCTTATCCACTCTGAAGAAATGAGTGGACACAGATGTGTCATCTGCCTGTTCTGATCTGGTCAGCGGGGGATCTGTGAGCTGATGCCCTGTTGACTGAAACAGAATCTGCCCTGTGTGACAGGGGCCTAAGTTGACTTTAATTCCCCCCTCCCCAGCTGCATCTTTACCTTTTTACCTTACTGCTGCTCTATTCAGCTAAGATAGTAAGCAAAGTAAAGCCTGAGTAAACTCCAAGTCACTCCAGTTGCTGCTTACACATGGTTAAGGACTATCCCTGCTACCATGTGACAGAACTAGGCCAATCACCTAGCACCAGCACTGTTATATGATGTGTCACATGCTCCTCCATACCTGGAAGTACTTAGTAATTTTATTTGTTCCCACTGGTTGAAAGGAGCAGCAGGAAATAAAGGAAAGGTGTGTATGTCCTGCTGGAACATGACAGCAAATCCCTGAACATGAAAATCACAGGTTTGCTTAACAGATCATCCTAATTATCTTTAAGTCTGTTAAATCTTTTTTTTTTGTACCACAAGTAGCACTCGTAATGATCAGCAGCACTTATTATTGTTCCCCAGTGAAACCGTATATGACCTAATTCACAGCAATGACCAAACAGACTGGAATCTGCCTAAGCATGGTTAATCCAATGCAAGACAAAACAGACTAGGATATAACAATTTAAATCTATACATCTATTAAAATACAGTTGATATGATTCTAACATTTTACATACTTGTGGCATATTTTCCCTACACACACACAATTATACACACAGTATCTACAGTTTGGTCAATGTTTATATAATCTGTTGGTCAGTGCAATTTATGCTGGTTGCTAAATTATTGAGACTCCCGCAAGATCATTCTCTATCTCTTTCAGCATTGCCATGCCTGGGTTTGGTCTTTATATCTGATTTTGCCAGTGTTAGACCAAGCCAGTCAAGGGGGGCTAAGGTGGCAGAAATTAAAAATCTGGCTCTGGTACAATATTGTTTGGCAGAATTCTCATCTGACAGTGGGCAGGCATGGCATAACAAAGCTACTGAATGATACTAGCCTTAGAGAAGAAAAACAGAGGCCAGGAATTCTATGGATCAGTAGTACTAACAATCACAACATTCACATGTGCAATATGTAGATTCCTAGCTTTGACATTGGCATCAGGCAAGGAAGATGTGCTTTAAAGCAAGATCTATGACTGCCAAGGGAATCATGTTTTCGGCCTCCCACTGTGCTTCTTGGGAAAGGGGAGCAGAAAATACTCCAGAAAAATAATTCCATATGTACATTCTTTAAACAAAACCAAGCTGTTATGCTATGGCCTGTCCTTAGATGCACTCATCTCACCCTATGATCGCGTATGAAACATAAATAATGAACGCACGCTGGAGACAGAGGTATTCTCGCATGCCAGCAGCAATATAACAAACCTCAGTACAGTCCAAAGCTGAGCTCGACATCAAATAAAGTGACCACATATTGCTTCAACAAGATGGACACAGATCACTTCTGTCTCTTCCAAGATATAGATTACTAAGCCTTTTTTAAACCTCATAAAAGTGAAACTACACTGAAGTACGAAAAGGTTTAGGAACATGTACAAGGAAATAAAAGGTCTTAGCACATGAATTTTACTTGGCAGCTGCTAGGAAAAGCAAGCAGTTAAGGTAGCACAGTCAAAACATTATAATCCGCCACATTCTAAATTTAGCTAGTTTCCTTTTTTTAATATTCAGCAGAGTAATGTGAAATATAGCCAAATAAAAGACCATAGAATAATTCACAGTGTCAGACACCTATCTCATATGCAATTAATCTGATGTAGCTTGTATTGATTTGCAGCAGTAAACTTCAATCTATTGGAGGTAGGATGCTACGGGATAAAAGACGCATGAACTTCTTGAGCACAATTCTAAGTGACTGCAGTAATGGTTGTGAGCTCAACCCTCAATCAAACAGTTTGCCCAAAGAGATCTTAGAATGACAGGATCTCCAGCCTGGTGAAAAAGTTTTACATCCAACAATACTAAATTACATTGATTCTTGTTATTAGCAGTGATTTTTGAAAAATCAACTGCTACCAGGTCCAAAGTCCCAGTGGCCCAGATATGAGTCTTTTGATTCAAGGATACGTGTTTCTTCCTGTATTTACATGATCTAAATATTGTCATTTCATGGGGGTTTTTTTTGGCTTGAAGACATTATTACTGCTGTTTTGGGACACTCCAATGAGTTAATGTGTTGCATAGGCTCAAAAAAAATTTAGCTTTGTTAAATTGTAAAAATCAGACTTTGCATCTTATAATGTTTTCTACACCTAGATAAATTCTGCACTTAGCTCTCACACTGGTACTAGGATAGAAGTGGCAACCATATATACAAAATCATCTATACACATCAATCCTGTTGAGATGTCACATCACATGTATAAAACATGGTTAGCAACACAATCAAAAGTAGATTTTGTAGCTTAAATGCCCCAGAAAACTAGAATTGTCTTAAATAAGGGGAAGACCACAGAAGTAGTACACTACATAATAAGAGTCATGAAAAATGAAACAAAAATGAAACAAAATGAATAACAGCTTAAATGTTAATATCTATAATTAAATTACCATCTTAGCAAGTAATGTATCTGTGACTGTCACCAACACTTCTTTACAGAGCACTTTCTTAGCCAATGACAGTGGGTGTGGTGAAGTTACATGCTTTATGTCACCGGTTAAGCATGCTTATGTCATCTGTAGAATGTGTGAGAAGCCCCAAGGGGAATTGGGAAATTAGTGTTTTTCGTTTAATAAATGCATATTATGGCACTTGGGTTTCATTTAGTTATAATATTTTATTGGGGTCTGTATAACATTACACTTTTTAATTCCAAGTCAGGATTTTTAACTGGTAAGACAAAATGTATGTGCCATGATGTAAATGTTATTATTATTAAAAGCATGTGATTGACCAGTGCAGTGACCTCTTCTCAATGTCAAGGCAGGAGACAACTATGCAAAGCGTAAAGTAACATAGAAATTGTGCAAAATACTTGCCATCTGCTACTGAGCTCTAAAATGTTGGAGTTTGTTGGAGGTTGTATATTTTATTTCATTTTGTTAAGTTGTCCTAGGCATTACAATACATACTTGGAGGCCAACTAGCTCTTCTGCCAAAATGGTCCTTGAAATGTGCGTGAGTGCTGACATTTGCTAGGGACACTTTATTGTGGCAAGGAATAAAGTGACACACACAATCTTCATAAAGTACACAATAATAGTTTGGCAAGTGTAGTGTTTTTAGTGAATACTGTATTTGCTGGCGTATAAGGCGACTGGGTGTATAAGATGACCCCTAATTTTCCAGTTAAAACATAGGTTTTGGACTATACTCGCTGTATAAGAGACTACCCCCTTCCAAGGCAACACCATTTAAAAACATCAGATTTGAATAAGCATCAGATTTGATTAAATATACACCCACTAATCTGTCAGCCCATAGGATGTGCGGTAATACTGTATGTACGGTAGGTTTGGCTACATACAGTATACCGCGCCGAAGCTACCGTACATACAGTATTACCGCACATCCAGCGGGCTGACAGATTAGGGACTTTCATTTTGAGCCAGCTTGGCCCAAACGAACAAAAGATTCACATTGTATACCCCACATATAAGATAACGCCCGATTTTTGGGGAATGTTTTTAAGTATAAAAAGTCGTCTTATACGCCGGAAAAAGGATATATGTATTTTGTATTGATGTCAAGGCAACAGAAATATACTTGGGTAAATTCACTAACATACATGCATGCTTCATTTTATGTGATCATTTTCTCATTCACAAACATAAATATTACATAGGTGTTTGACTGGTATGTTTTTAACATTAAATGAATATTTAAATATAAACTATTTAAGGGACATTCTTCATCTTTTTCAATATATGATTGTGGATTTAGTTTAAGTAACTCAGACCATTGGACTAATACTTACATCATGAACGGAGTCTAAAAGTTTCGTTAAATGGAAATATCGCTGCCAGCTCTGTCCAGCACTGTGTGGACTCTTCATTAATATTTTCCTCAGTTCTTTAATGTAATTCACTCTCATTTCTTCAAAAGCAGCTTGGCATTTAAGTCCATCTTTAGGAACTAGGATGAAAAAAAATACAAGAATGGATTTTTGAGCAAAGGAATTATGCACCTGATGATGTAATACGTATTCAGAACTGATATCATACCACAGCTAATGAAAATATGACCTTGCTATATAGTTATTACTGTAATATTAAATATCTTCTAATTCCAGATATGGAATGGTGCTGTATTATTGGTTATTATTTAGCAATACCGGGACAAACACAGTGAAGCTGCTAGTCATTTAAATTTAAAGTAAATGTAATTTCTAAGAACAGATACCACAAGATGCCTACTATTACCTGATCCTCATATATGGTTTCATTCTCTTGATCAGAAAATTGGACAAAAATACCACTTTCAAAGCGATGGTATGATAATCTGATCATTAGTACACAGCTTTCGTCCAAAATTATTCAAAGGGACAAACACGAAAATGTTTTCATACAATACCAGATCGTATGTTTTTTGTTTAATCAGTACAGTATTCATCCGAAAAAAATCAGAAGAGCAAGATCAGGAATGCTCAGAAACGAAGAAATACAATACAAGGCAACACATTACATCCCTGCAGAAATTGTATTCTGTCATACAACTATTTTTTTAACTTTACAAACCTCTTCATTTTCGATGTGAGACTAAAATACAGACGATTATTTGTCCGATATACTCATTGTGTGTATCAGGCTTTAGTCTTGCCAACTACCATTCCTAGATCAAATAAGTGTCTCAGTGGCTCATAGGGGCATTCTTGATGGACAGGGCAATGACATTTGAAAGTTTAGAGAGGCCATGCTTTGCAGAGAGACAAACAGATGTATGCTTTCTGGATAGTAAAAGTAAAAACAGACATATTTGGCGTCTGCGCTTACACATGGCTTCTATACATGTAAAAGACTAACAGACTTGTTTTAAGACATGTTACGTGGTATGATATTCTAGTTATAAAAGCCTATGAACACAGACAGGTGCATAAATAAAGGATCCTGGTAAGCCATGGATACTGGCAGTTGATTTTTTTTCACCCTTTGAGGCATAGAAACTTGCATAACGACAACATTAATTGTTTTAATAAGAGTGCAATCTTTCTGAGTTCACACTACATACACTATTTTGCCAAAAGTATTGAGACACCCCTTTAAATCATTGGATTCAGGTGTTCCAATCACCTGCATGACCACAGGTGTAAAAAATCAAGCATATAGGCATGCAGACTGCTTCTACAAACATTTGTGAAAGAATGAGATGCTCTCAGGAGCTCAGTGAATTCAAGTGTGGTACCGTGATAGTTTGTCACCGCGATGCGGTCAAAGAACCCTGCAGGGACCTACCTGTGAAAAGGGGGGTCTCGGCGGAGGAGCGGGAGCTCAAGAGCGAAGGTTGCAAGGTGAGCCAGCTGGAGAAGAGAACAGAGCATCGGGTGTCCTCTGCAGTGGGACAGTGGTGGCTACTGTCCGGAGCAGAGGGTTGACTGGAGGAAGCGGAGGCGGCCACGTGACATCCTGCAGAGAAGCACTGGGAGAAGGAGAAGCCGGCCGGCGTTCCCAGGCAAAGGGAAACGCTGGTTCTCCCCCTGACTACACGGGGCCTGTACCACCAGGGACTGGAGCCAGTGGGGTGAATCTCCCCCGAAGGAAAAAAGAAAAGTAGCAGTATAAACGGAGGGGCTGTTTGCAGCTCGCAGCCCACAGAAGGAAGAGCCTGAAGCCACCTCACATAAAAAGAGAAGACGGCAGGAGGGTGAGTGAGGCAAGGCATAATATACTGCATGAAATGAACTGACATATAAGGTGAAAGTAAGGGGGGAGATCGCCCAGGGGTTCTAAAAGAAAAAGAGGACAAAGCGATACAGTACAGGTCCCCAGAAGAGATAGAACCTAACAGAGGGGAATTTAAAGTGAATATACAGGACAGTAAAATAATTAATCACCTCAAGAGCTTGGATTAGTGAACTAAATCTTTGACGGCATGAAAAATAAAGTGGCCAAAGGAGGTGGACCCAAGAGTTCCCAAACAGGTACAATAAACAAATATATGCCCTCACAGGGGAATCTGATCCCAGAAAGACAACAAGGACTAAGTGAAAGGAGTGTGTTGGAAATCAGTATGGAAGAAAGTCCTAGACTATCCCTGGAAATGGCTAATAGTAGTCCAAAAAGGAGAGAAAGAGTGGAGGCGGTAGAACAAGAAAAGGAACTACAAATGTCAAACAAAAGAGAAATAGCAGAAATGTTTCAAAGCCTTGAAAAATCAATAAAACAAGAGATGGCAATAATACAGAAAGATCTGGGGCAAATGATAGCAAGAGTGGAAGAAACAGAGGGAAAAGTGGAAGAACAGGCCCAAACTATTTTGAAACTAGAAAAGCGGACGATAGAAATGAGAAAAGAACTAAGAAAGTTGCTATATATGATAGAGGATCAAGAAAATAGGGATATGAGATGTAATCTAAGGATAATAGGAGTACCAGAGATTTCACAAGGTGAAGACCTAAGGGGAATAATATGTAAAATCCTGAATACTATAATGGACAGATTGGTATCAGAGACGCTTAAATTGGACAGTGTGTATAGAATAGGAAAGCTCCAACAAGAAGGGGGTAAAGAAAAATCAAGAGATATAATTGTGCGATTCCACAATCTTGGGGATAAAGAAGAGATATGGAAGAAAATAAAAGGAAGAGCATTGATTAAGTATAGAGAAATAAATATTCAGATTTTTTCAGACCTAGCGGTAGAGACACTAGCAAGAAGGAGATCTCTGAAACCATTATTACAGCAGATGAAGAAGCAAAATGTGCAATATAGTAGGGGCTTCCCGGCGTGTTTGATTGGATGGAAAAACAGACGGACAGCAAGACTAAGATTCCCTGAAGATATGAGAGACCTTTGTCAGAGACTTGAATTAGAGAAAATGGTGATACCTGGGTAGGAAGAGGAGGAAGGAGAGATAGGGGCTACGGGGGGGAAAAGAAAATTGGCAAGTAGTTGGAAGGAAGAATAGAGAATAGAGAGGGTTTTTTTTTTCTCTTCCTCTCCTCTTCTTTATTTAGCCCCAGTCCTTCCATATAGAAGGATCATCGAAGACACATGAGATCTAGTGAGTGACAGCGCACGGAGGAGGAGGATAGGTGACTGGTAAACCATCCGTGATCGAAGTACCACCTTAAACTTGAATCAAGGGTGGTATAGGGACCAAGAATGATTTGTAGGCAAAAAGGTAGTCTAAGGGATGGGGAGGGTGGGGGGAGGAGAGAGGGAAGGGGGAAGGGAGGGTGGGGGCGAGGATAAAGGGATAAGGGGGATACTCAGCAAAAAGAAAGGAGATAAAAGAATTAGGGAGAATCCTGGGGAAAGAAAGAATGGAAAATATATATAGTAATGGAGGAGGTTCATTTTATGACTTATAATGTTAAAGGGCTAAATAGTTGGGAGAAAAGATTTAAGATACTTAGAGAAATACAAAAAAGATTTATTGAGGTAGTGTTTATACAGGAAACTCATCTAATACAAGAAACAAATGTGAAATTAAATTCTAAGCACTACCCATTATGGTACTATGCAGACTCCCCAATTAAACGTGCTAAAGGGGTGGCAATTGGGTTTGCAAAAAATGTAAGGTTCTGTTTGAAAGATAAAATGGAGGATCTGGAGGGGAGATTTTTATTTTTAAAGGGGAAATTGCAAGAGGTAGAATGTACATTGGCAAATATATATTGCCCCAATAAAAAATCAGAGGCCTATCTAAAGAACATACTGAAGAAGCTATTAGATTTTAAAAAAGGTAAACTAATTGTGGCAGGAGATTTTAACTGTTGCATGGAACCACAGCTTGACTCGACGTCTCATGTGTTGAGAGAGGGTAACAAACATTTGAAAGAATTAAGGAAAACGATACAATATTGTCAGTCAGTTGATAGTTGGAGAATTAAAAATCTAAGGGACATAGATTATACATTTTATTCTCACGCACATGAGACATATTCAAGATTGGATTATATATTGCTAGATCATAGACTTATAGGGGTTTATTTACTAAAGCTGGAGAGTGCAAAATCAGACTCACTTCTGCATAGAAACCAATCAGCTTCCAGGTTTCATTGCCAAAGCTTCATTGAACAAGCTGAGGTTGGAAGCTGATTGGTTTCTATGCAGAAGGGAGTCTGATTTTGGACTCTCCAGCTTTAGTAAATAAACCCCATAGAGTCTTTGGCGAAAGCAAGGATAGAAACTACAACGCTATCCGATCATGCACCTGTCACAATAAGGTTAAAATGGGGAAGAGAACAAAAAAAGGTAAATACGTGGAGAGTAAATGAGGCACTTCTTCAGGATCCGGAGACGGAACAGATAATTAAAAGAGAAATAGAATTATATTTCGAAAGAAATAAGACTGAGGAGGTGTCGGTGGCGACTGTATGGGAAGCCCACAAGGCATATATTAGAGGAATCTTAATAGCGATTGGGGTAAAAAAGAAAAAGGAAAGGAAAGAGAGAATTAATACACTTAATAGAGAATTATTTAAATTAGAACGGGTGCATAAAAAGAATATAACAAAAAAGAATAAGCAGAAGGTATTGGAAAAACGAGAAGAACTAAACAAATTAATGAAGGAAGAAAAAAGGAGAGTGTTTAATAAGATAAGTAGTGAAAGATACCGGTGGGGAGATAGGCCAGGAAAATTCCTAATGAGAACTCAAAGAAAAAAGAAAGGTAGGAATTATACAGAGAAAATAAGAGATAATAAAGGAGAACTAAAATATTCTACCAAAAATATCACAAAAGTGTTTAAAGAATATTATAGTAGATTATATAATATCAATCCCCAAAAGTCCATAAGAGATGAGGAAGAAAGAAGTAAAAAAAAGCAGATATACCAGAAGAGGCGGGGTTACTGAAATTGAGAGAGGAGCGGTTAATATCCCCAGAGAGAGCAATAACAGAAGAAATCTATAGTGCACTGAAGAGTAGTATGGCAGGGAAAAGTCCAGGACCAGATAGGTATACTGTGAGAT